ACTGGATACAATCTCGCAAAGAATCACTCACTTTGCGATCGCCAGAGCGAAGGTGTTCTCCACAACTGCCCCTTCCTGTGGCAGCAAGTCCATGCCATGGGCATGCCTACCGCCTTTGCTGAAGATCGCACAGATCTGCTAACACTCACAACTGAGCGACAGCCACCCACAGATTACTATCTACGACCATTTATGTTGGCCATCGAGCGTCAACTTAGAATCAATGCTTCCTTTCTTATGCCAAAGTATTGCTTGGGCCCACGCTTTTCTGCAAATTATGTGCTCGATTATGCGCTAGAATTTGCAGAACGTTTTTCGGGACACGGTGGTCTAGGCTTATTTTGGGTGAAAAGCTTTCGCGATCACTTCATGGAACCAACAATTTTTGACCAAGAATTCTCCAATTACTTGGAGCTGCTGCAAAACACTCAGATACTGGAAAATTATGTTGTAATTATTCTAAGCGGCAATGGCATGCTGCGTGGACGTCTCAACAAACTAAAGAGCGGCTTCTATGAGGAGCGTTTACCGTTGCTCTACATTTCACTACCAACCGCATGGAAAGAAGAACAACATCCGGACTTAGTGCAAACTTTGCAAACAAATCGCAATCGCTTGATCAGCCCCTTGGACCTCCATCAAACCGTAAAGCACGTGCTAGCGCTCGGCGCCGGCGTACCGCCACGATACGCGCACGCAGCCGATTGCCCCAGCTGTCAGTCGATACTCAAACCAATTGCGGCGAATCGTAGCTGCAGCGACGCTGGTATTGATTGGTTGTGGTGCAGTTGTGAACCCTTCATTGCCAAGTGGTGCAATTCTTATGAGACTAGTTTGATAATGAACTCACTGCTATCGCATATGAATCGTCTGCTGTGGAATGCTGGTTTACTCAACGGCACTTGTCACTTTTTGAGTGTGCACACCCTGTATGGCATCTACAATAGTCAGCGGCACAGAAATTATTACTACGTGAAATTTAGTACTTCGGCAGGAAAAGCAGAATTTGAAGTTGC